CTCGCCTTGGGGGGCCACAGGGGCGGGGAGCAGGCGCAGTCCCTACCGCCGGCACCTCTTCGGTCCCGAAAGGGTAGCAGTGCAGGATCGCCACCACGAGAGGCCCTTCGTGCCCCGGGGAGGGGACTGTCAACAGCTCATCTCCGGGGTCCACGAGGACACTGCAGCGCTCAGAGGGACGCGGGCTGCCCCAGGCGGGTCTGGTCCAGCGACGTGCTCGGGCAGGGAGGGACTGGAAGGGCGCTCCGGCTTGGCTCCCTTGCATGGGCGGCAAGACGGACATCCCACTCTGGCTAGGGGATGTGGGGAATTCCACCCAAGAGGCATCTCATCTAAAAGCCACAACCCTTGACACTTGTGGGGTTTCCTATTGTTTATTTTCCCAACAGTGTTCCTGAAAGCTCCCACAGCTCTCACAAGGGCAGTCTACCTGCTGTGGGGACAGAGCACATGGGGCCCTGAGGTGGGTCAGAGGCAGCAGTTGGCCAGCTCTGCTCCCTCATTCCTCGCATTTTTCCTTGGATGGGCAGTCCCAAATCCTGACATCTCCCCAGGGCACTGGGATCCTTTGCTAGAGCAATGGCAGCAGCAGCTTTCTGCCAGCGGTCACCACACAAGACTGGTCTCACCACAGCACACCACACCAGGTGCCAGGGTTATATGGAAGCAGGCAAGGGGTCAGGAGTCATGGGAGCCACATCCTGCTGACCTGTCTCCATACCAGATTTCCTGTTGTTTCAATCAGCAGTGAAAAACAAGAGAGCAAAAAACAAAGCCAAGGCCAGGCTGGGAACCCCTTTGTCTTGCTGTTTCTTCCAGCATAATCTAATTAAAGCCACAGGAAATATGCTTTCCTCCAGTGACTAGGCATCTTTATTAAAAAACAGCACAATAAAAAGTCCATGGGCTGGGAGAATGAGGGGACAAGGGCGACAGAGGCCAGGCTTCATGGCTCTTGGCACTGGGAGGGTTCTGCTCCAGATACCTGTATACCTGTTGCCTTGCTGAGACACCTCGTGGCAGCTCTCATGGGGCACCAGAGCATCTGGAAGTTCATCCAAGATCTCCCAGAAGAGGAGCTGCCACAATGCCCTGCATTGCCCTTGACATTCTTGAGAGGCTCTCCAGGCTCTGGTCCCTCTGTGCAGGACTTCAGGAGCTCACAAATGGCTTTGCAGTAGGTGGGAAGGGGGAGGGGGGGTGTGCTGTGGAAAAGAGCACTGGCAAGACAGGGTGGGTGGAAGAAGAAAGGAAAGAGCTGGAGGAGTATTTCAAGTATTTTATTTTTAAAAAATTCCCAGTTAAAACCACAATGTCTGTGCCTTTCTGTGGGTAAGAAACACAACCAGGGTAGCTCTCAGGCTCTACTTCCCAAGTGGGCAGCTCTGAGGCTGTGGCCCTGCCAAGTAGGTAACACAGCACTGGGCTCCAGCTGGGGAGGGCTCACAGCTCTGAGCAGCTCCTCTCTTAAAATACATTTAAAAGCAGTTGTGAGAACAAACTGTGGTGTTAAAAAAGAATGGGAAAGGAGCAAGGGAGGCTCTCCCAGCACTGGACGGCTGTGGCTGGAGGGCCCACGCTCCTGCCTGGGAAAAGCCACAGAGCTTGTGGCATGCGGCAGCTTTTCTTCTTTAAAGAGAACAAAAAATTAACCAACCAACCAACAGTACTTTCTTTGAAAGATTCCCTGCAGCCACAAATTTCATCAGTTGTTCACATAAATATGCTGTCTTCCTCACAGGAAATGCTCTTGCCTGAGCCTTCCTTTTCTGCTAAACAACATGCTTCAGATTCCCTGCAAACAAAAGGAAGCAAAAAAGGGTATTTCCACTGATATTTTAGCCTGATGGAGTGACCTGGCAAGGGGTGCCACTCCCATGCCTGATGGATTAGACCATGATATGGGAATTCCAGCCTCAGCACAGATCTCAGTTCCTGCTGACCCCTCACTCCCTCTGCAGAGGCTGCTGCCCTCATTTGAGCCAGGCTTTAGAAATTACCACAAGGGGACCTTGCCAATGCTTTCACTATGCTGAATGCTGCTTCGGGATTCATGGACCAGCATCCGAGATGCGCATGCTCACTCCCTGCTGCCTTGTCCTTCTTTCAGGCTGGATTCACAGACAGGAGTGCACAGCCCTCCCCCACCCCTTCCAGCTCTGGAGTGATGCTGTTCCTCCTACCCTCTTGGACATCTTCCCAGGGAAGGGATGCCCTCTCCCTAGGATTGGCCCGTGCTTGGTAATGGACACCTGAAGGCATCCACAGCCACTGGACTTCCTACCCTACTTCTAACACCAGCACACTGCAGAAAAGGGGTGCCAAGCCCCATCATGCTGCTCTGAGCCCCTCTTGCAGAGAGAGACAAGACAGATGGGTAAGGGCATTGAATGAGTTTCAGTGCTGGCGCTGGCAGAGCTGCCTGTCCTGGACTTGAAGAGCTTCAAGTCCTGCCTGCTGGAGACCTGTTCCAATCCCAGAAAGCTATTTCCCACAGCCTCCTCCTGGACCAACTGGAAAGACACAGACTGGGTGGGTCGTCTGCAAAGGGGATAGGGAGGGAGCTGGCTTACAGGGAGCTCACAATGGGTGGTGATCAAGGGATTTTACATTGTCTTGCAGCCTGTCATAAGTAGGGTTCCCCCAGGAACTGATACTGATACATATTGCTCAACATCGTAAATTACCTGGGTTGAAAACAACCACAGCACCAAATTGGGTGCTGCTGTGAACAGGTCAGAAGGAAGAGGTATGTTAGAGAGTAGGACAGGCTGGAAGACTGGGCTAAAAATAACAGTTTTAAGTTTAACAAAGGCAAAACCAAGGTCCTGCTCTTGAGATAGAAGGTGGCCAGTTCAGGCTGGGATTTGTGTGACTGGGAAGCAGCTTTGTGGAAATGGATGTGGGGATCCTGATAGGCAGCAAGCTGAATGGGATCCAGCAGTGTGCTGCTGCAGCAGTGAAGCAAACTATATCCTGTGCAGCCTGTGTAGGAGCATTACTAAGAAAAATTGGATCATCTCATTCCAGGTCCATCACACACATGATGAGTACTGTGTCCAGTTATGATCCCCACAAATCCCAAAAGACATGGACAGAGCAGAGAGGGTCCAAAGGAGGACCAAAAAGGTGATCAGATGCTGGAGAACCTGCCTAATGAGGAGAGACTCTGCAGAAGAGAAGGCTTAGGAGGGACCTCATCACAGTAATCTAGTACTTGAAGCCTGCTCTGTAGACTTCAGAGGACAGAAGCTCTCTCTTCACAAGGAGGCACATGGAGAGGACAAGGGACAACAGGTGTGAGTTGCACCAGGAGAAGTTTCACCTTATTTTAAGTGCTTTTTTTTTACAGCGAGAACAATCAATCACTGGCAGAAACTCCCCAGCGATGTGGTAGCGGCCTCACTGTCAGAAGTTTTCAGGACATGACTTGCTAGATAATCTTGTCTATGATCCCTTTCCCACAAAAAGTTTGGACCAGATGATCTTTGAAGTCCCTTAGAACCTGGGCTGTTCTATGATTCCAAAAAGGACAAGGCCCCATGCTCCCCTGCCCAGCCAGAGGAGCATGCTACAGGAACCCATTACTCTGTACCACCAACCCTGAAAATCCCAAGGGATGTGGGAGGCCAGTGACACTGCACTAATGAGCAGCCACATGAACGTGGTTCATCTTTCTACTCAGTGAGAAAGACTCCAACAAGCTCTTCTGAAGCCCTCTCTAAAAAAACCTGTAAGCCTGAAGCAAACGCACCTTTGATAGAGTTCAGAATTTCTTGAATTCTCTGTGGCTCATTGCGGTCTGGTCTGCAGCTTGGTGTGATCTCCAGCACATAATCAGGACCATACTCTGTGAAGAACTGCAGGGAGGAGGAGAGGAAAATCAACAGAGAGGTCTCTGAAGGCTGAGGCTAGAGAGAGGGCTCCCCATGGGTTCCTGTTTGTAAAAAGGCAAAAAAACATTTCTCTACCTAAGAGCCACATGTAGCTTCACTACATCAAGGTGGTACTTCAGCAGTGTCTGTGTCCACCTGGAGTTTTCAACCGCTTCCCAGTTCAAGGGATGGGAAGCAGAGCCAGTGAAGCAACCAAAAAGCAGTCAAATGTCTATCCCAATGCTTTATTTGGAAAAGCTGTTGACACTCATTTTACACACAGCTACCGGCAAACGGGATTTTTTTACTATTAAATTTCAAGTGCTGTAATCACATACCCTACTTGTCATTTCCCATCCTGCTGAACACTGCACTGACATGACTGTGAAACACCTGGGAAAGGAAAAATCAGTGTGCTGCAAGGATACTGTGTCTCTCCTGGCTGAGTGCTCAGACAGCGTGCAGGAAATCTGCAGCACATGGGGTTGATGTGCAGGAAATCTGCAGCACATGGGGTTGATGTGCAGGAAATCTGCAGCACATGGGGTTGATGTGCTAACACAGAATCACAGGTTACTGTGAGCCACTGTGTCATGATTCTGGCGAAGACAGGGTCAGTTTTCAGAGTAGATGGGAGGAAGCATGGCCAGGACACGGAGGTTATTCTACGCCATCTCTCATCATTGCTGAGGGCAGGGGAAAGGGACTCTTCCAGACAGAAGGGATGCCTTTCAGCTTAAATAATGTGGCAGAGGAAGCTATGCGGTTTTGTCTATTGTCAGGGGGCAGGGGTGTTTCTATGTGAATTGTTTTTTGTTTTCTTGTTCCCTCTGTCATTAGTATTGTTGCTGTTACTGTTCAGAAAATTGTTCATGCTCTTAGCAGGAGCACTAAATTGGAAAGTACCATTCCTAAGACAACTTTAATTGGTGCCCAGTATGGGGCACAAAGGGTTGAGATAACAACAGATTTGTCCAGAGTGGGTTGGAAACAAATTTGATTCTAAGCATTTGTTCATATTAGGTACAGAACCACTGGTCACAATGCTGCTTAGTCTGTTCATGTGGGTGTGGTACATATGTGTGAGCATATATGTGTTCCTTGTGATGATATTTATCAGAGCAGGAGGGGGATCAGGACTGTTTTGTTGCTGTACTCTGTGATACCAGTTTATGAAATTATAACAATGGCAATGAGGGTCATTTGGGATGTGTATTCAGTGTTCCTCTCCTACCCTTACCTTAGGCACTACCTTTGTTAGTCCATTAATAATAGTACTCAGCCTGAGGGGGAAACAGGAGAGGATAATTTTTCCCAGCTTGTCACTCCCTCTTCCTCCTTCAGGCCTGTTACAACAGCTTTTCAAGAATTTTGAATTCTCTTTGGATGTTACAGAAAGTATGTTCTTGTTGCTATGGTTGCTATGTCTCTTATGTGTCTCCTCAGTACAGCTGATAACATGTTTAGAGTCAGTGGAGTCCACACCATGTTTAGAATCAGGACAGAGATTTCTAGGAAGGTCATTCAGAGATCTGCCCCAAGGGTGGATAGTCATGAGAAGCATAAAAAATGGGAGAAAACAGGCCAGCTTCTGGGGAATTCTCTGCTCCAGTGGTTTGGAAGTTCATCTATGTACAACTACAGGACCCTAATATAGTGACAGAATATTTGCAAGGTGCGTTCTGTGTCAACTCCAGAGAGAAGCAACTTATTGGAATGTGCTGGGCCCTGGCTACTATTTACCAGCCACTGTTCATCACTAGACAGTACCCTCAGGGGGAGGAGGAGGAAAGCAGAGCAACAGGCACTGTGGTCACTCAAACTTCAGCTGAAAAAAAAAAATTAAAGCCTTGAGAAGGCAAAAGGCACATCCTAAAGAGCTCTTTGAGGAAACCACGTAATCCTTTTGCCCATCCTCTCTGTTACTATCTGAGACTGGAGTTTACGGGCACATTAAACCCCTCACAGAAAGCTGCAGACAGCCTCTGGTTCTGGGCACAAGCATCAACCATACTGCTACATAAGTGTCTTCACAAAACAGGACTGTGTGGCAAGGATGCTGTGTGGATTAGGCAGAACAACTGGCTCTTCTGCAAGAAGGGTTTTTCAAAGCATTACCTCATGATCAGGGATCTCAGAGGACAGTGTTCTCCCAAGGATGACCCCAGTCAAGTATGTCCAGCAGCGAGCGGTGTTGGCAAGGTTGTAACCTCCTGTTTCCAGCAAGAATTGGGATTTGAGGAGGAAGAGTGAGGAATGGGAAAAGAAAAAAAGAGATTTAGGTGGAAGGAACAAACCATGAAACCACTGTGTACAGGTTACATGAGTTCAGCTTATTTCCTCCACTCAAGCCATGCCCAAAACCTGCCTTCTGCACCTGCTGGCTACACAAGGCCAAGTCTGAATGACAGTGTATGCAAGAGCAGACCACTCAAACTGAACCTCAGTTACATCCAGTGTGGCAGAGGCCAGTCCTCAAGCCACCATCTCAGAGTCAGGATGAGCTCACAACCCCATGTGCTCAACTCTCTCCTGGCAACAAGAAGAGCCATTCTCAAGTAGCAGGCTGCAGCAGAAATGGGGGGTTCCTGCTTTTTAATACCAGCCTTTGACCTATGAAGCAAAATACACATGCCCAGCCATACCCTGGTGAGCTCTTCAGCACCGTCATGTTTGCAAGGACAAATGTGAAACTCATCACTATAACTTGCAACTGTTTTACACTGAAATGAGATTTCACAGTGAGCGGGAAATGGTTACCTACATGGTAAAGGAACATGAGCCCACAAGGAGAAACCTTAGCTGAAAGCAATCCTGCAAGAGACTCAGGTATGTTTTTTTCCAGAACAGAGGACTAGAAGAGTAAAGGGAGAAAAGCACTTTGACAAGACAGACCATATTATTCCAATATTCCCTTCTGTCTGCAGTGGGTTTTTTTTCCCTGCTTTTTTTTTTTTTTTACTCCTCCCCCAATTTCCACGTCAAATGCTTCCACATGCTCCAGTGGTGGGACACTCCTTTGCTGTTTTCACAAGTGACACATAGTTGATCCTCATTTTTTAACAGAAGTTTTGGGTTTGGTTGACAGGTGACATCTCCAGCACACTCACAGACAAGCCACAGCAGGACTGAACACTCATAACCTTTCCAAAACAAAGGGCATCAGGCACACTAAATATTAGCCTTAATATGCTATACATGATTTCCCCCATCTAAAAAAGGACAACACATAGAGCTGCTCCAGCTCCAGTCATGGAGCTCAGGGGCTTTCCCTGGCACACAGGGGCTTCTGTTGTTCTGAAATGCTCTGTTAACATAACACCTGTCCTGTGCTCTCCCCACTGAACAAGCAGGTGATTAGGCAACACAACAAAGTCCAGCTTAGCTTTCACTGGGCATCAGAGCCCTGCTGTATCTTGCAGGCCTCATCCCAAACCCCTGCTTGAATCTTAATGAAACCATTCATCACCAGGTGCCCAAGGTAGGTTTGGGAACATAGTGCTCACTTTTAAAGTGAAGCACCAAAGGGCTGATCAGCAGAGATGGGAATCAGAGATGTCACTGAGAAGTCATGGTCAGTTTGTTGGCCTCTCCTCTTCTCCAGAGGAGCCATGCAGCTTTTAACTCAAGATCTGAGTCAGTACTGAGACTTGCACCTGTCAGTATAAATGATTTCAGGTGTGAGAAAAGAGTATTATGCCACAGTGCATCCTCCTGACACTGCACAGCAGTCACCCTGCTAAACCCTTGCCAGTCCTGAGCCCAAGGGCAGGCAGGCACTCGAGGCAGGGTCACAGGAGGACAAACACATTTCTCTGAGAACAGCAGGATGCACTCACCTCCTCCCAGGACAAGAGTTGCTAGCTGCCACTGCAGGACATACTTAAGGCACTTCCCCACTCCCTCAGGTGTCATGTTGAAAGAGCACATGGGGTCTCCAGCAATGGTGTCCGCCCCCAGCTGCAGCACAACTGCATCAGGGTTGAAGGCAGCATACACCTCCTTCAGCACTCTAGAGAGAAGAGAAGCAGTCCAGTTACTGCCAGCACAGCCCAGAGGAATGCTGGTGGCATGGCCCTGGTCACTCAGATCCACCAATGCCTCTCAGGGTTTCTGCATTCTCTGCTTCCACCCAACTCACACCAGTTACACTACCTCTGCTCCCAGCCTCTGCTCTGAGCCTTCTACCTCCACAGCAATTTTAGCTCTCAGAGCACTTATCAAAAGGCTGATGGATGCAAAAGGACCACTCATAACATGGCAGAGGGGGATCTAGTCCTCACCAGTTTAGTGGTAGCATCAAACTCCACATTTACAGTCTGCCTTTTGACTGCACGATGGTCCAGGGGCTTTTCTGCCCTGTGAAAGTTATAGTGGAGGTCAGGGTCTGGCAAAACAACCATCCTGAACTCTCAGACACCTCTCACCAGGACAGGCCAGGAGAGGACAGGAGAAACAGAGGAAGACTGGCTAGCGTCTTACTCTCCTCTCTCCTGTATGGCCCTTGAGGCAAAACTATGAGGAGAAACTCTGTGCTGGATGTAGTCAGCCTGCAAAACCCAGCATTGGACAGAGCTTCATGCTTCAAGCCCATTGTGGTTTTGGGAAATACAGGCAATCACCCTCAAACAACAGCTGGATGAGACATCCATGGTCATGTCCATGGACTGCCTCCCAGCCAGGACAGACCTCAGAGACCTCTAAGTCTCTTTGCAGAAGGTTCAGCTATACACAGCTTGAAATCTATTGTAAGTTATGATGTCCTTCAGCTGTGAATGCATGCAGCAGGCTCCTCCTGAGTGGGTTCCTGACCCCAGAGCTGCCTTTTGAAAGCATGTCCTCCAGCACAAAGACGGCTGCTCTGCCCCAGCAATGGCAAGCACCAATAAGCCAACAGGAGGCATGGCCCCCCACATGACTGCCCTACTGGCCTACAAGTTTAGAGAGGTTTCAGCCCTCAAGTGTTAGAGGCAGACATGCTACCACATCCTGCAACCCTGCACTGAGACTCCTCTCCTCTGGAAAAGAACAAGACCTGCAGCCCAGTTTTGACACGGGCAACAGCTTGTGAGGTCCACCATCAGCTGAAGGACACAGGGGACTGCCAGGAGACAGCTCTGTCACTGTCAGATATTCAGCCTTCAGCCTTTTACTTTTCCAGCACAGACAGAAGGTGCTAGGAAAATGCTTTTAGCTAAGCCCCAAGCATATGTTCCACAGTCAGAATTCAGAGCACTTACTTGAAGGAAAAACATCTAACCCTAAGTCCACAGCTAAAAAATACTTGTCACTTCTCAGTCTTTCCTTAGATAGACACCTGTGGAGGTGTATCTAAGGAGACAGGCTAACCTGTGGCAGAGACCCCTCCAGCCACCCACAATGTCTCTGTATATTCAGTTTGTCTAAGGATTCATACAAGACCTCTGAGAACTTAAGAGTTCATGTTCATTGTAATCAAAGGCTGCAACAGGGGAAGGGACAAGGCTTAAGAAAGGACTGTAATTAAAAACACTAAGCTATGTAGTATCTTATTCTCTCTCTAAAATCCCATCCAAGCCAGCTGTATCAGAGCAAGAGGGCTTACGATTCACAGATCTGGTAATATTTTTCATCCTGAATGCCATCTTGAATGGGCACATTCACGCTGTAGTAGCGACCTTTTCCCAGGCCAACATCTGTCACATCTCCAGTGCCTGCACAACAGAAACACCCCAATTAGAAGGGAAAGTAAAGCAGCAGCAAGAGACGCGTGGGGTGTCTCAAAGGCACGATGAGAGCCAGGACATTCGGCATGCGTATGAAGAAGTCCACTTGCCGCCACCAAGAAAGGTGGGGTGGAGTGACCCAGTTCTATCCTTCACCCAATTCTGCCATGCAGCATCAAAGGAACTCTGCCTAGAGCTCAGCTACAACCAGAAAGGGGGAAATGCGAAACATGAAGCTCCCCCTCTTTCCTTCTCCTGGGTTGAGATGAGACAGCAAGACATGCTTTTACAGCTTGTCTTTATGGAGGCCTCACTAGTGACATGTGAACCAAATAAGCACAAACCTCACCAGTTCAACTTGCCTGGGAAAAATCCTGGTGAAAATTTGTGCAGAGAAACAGTCATGACCTTCGAGGTGAAACTAAAGGCATCCTCAACTCCTATTAGGAAATTGAAAAAAAACTTTCATGCATCATTTATATAAATGACAGAGTCTGAACACACTGAGTTGCTTGATACACACAGGCAGCAAGCAGAGAAGGAGCACCATAAGCAAAGTAGAAATGCAGATCTGGCTCAATACGTCTTCAGTCCACAGAGACTGGAGTTCAACTGCAGCAAAGATCACAACTGCTATGAATCTGGCAGGTCTCATGCTGATCAGTACTGAATGGATCTGAATATCCCACGTCACTACCCATGGTAGCAGCACTTGCCTGTGCTGCTAGGCCTGTGAAGCTGGGAGCGGGATCCAAGCAGGGCTCACTTGGCCAGAGCTTGGCTCTGATCAGAACCAGTGCTACTGGGCTCTCTTGCTTTTTCTCAATGCTGCTGTGGTTCAATGTGCCTTTTCCTTAAAGACACTATTAAGACAGTGGGCGTGGAGAGGGAAAAAAGAAATAATAGGAAACTTAACAGAAACCAAATACAGGGAGAAAATGGAACAAAATGAAACACATCATAAAATTTAGGAGAGCAGGAAATGTTAAATGGTGTAGAAATAATGTCCCTGAAGGAGGGAGCAGTTTCAGCAAGGCCAGCTTTGCCTGTAGATTTATAGCATCAAGCCTTCTTTTAAAAGCAGCACTTACTACTGGCTGCTTCCCTCTTGCAATGGACCCTTAAACAATTAAACCCTGACAGTAACTGCTCTGCCAGGATGGGAGATTGGGACACATTATCTGTTGCTTTAGGTACAAGACTCCTGCCCAGACCCACAAGAGAAGTCTGAGGAGCAGCATTGGGCAAGTCTGTAAAGCAGGACAAGGCATAAATAGATTGATTGGGGGAACTCCACTGCACCGAAAGGAGCCGAAGCTGTTGCAGCAAGTAAACTCCTGCTGTGCAGATAGGCCTTGCCTTCTCCCATTCCCTCCTGAGTGTGTGCAGCTGTGCTGTTTGCAGCCTTTGCTCGGCCTTACCATCCCCATGATGCAAATCCAAATCAATATAAAGGATGCGGTCAAATTTCTGGCGCAGTCGCAGGATCCCCAAGACAGCATCATTCAGGTAACAGAAACCAGAAGCTTCATCCCTGTGAAAACAATGTCTGTGACATTGAATATTGCCAATGCAATCACCACTGATTTCAGCATTCTTACTTTGGCTTTGCAAGTGTCCACCTCACAGGGGCACAGAGGAGTACGAAAACTCAGCCCAGTAGTGACCAAGAGACGGGTCAGGAACAGTTCAAAGCGTGGCTGGGAAGCACACAGAACAGAACTGCTTGTGCCAACTGCTTCTCAACTCTGGGCTTTCTGGCAGCTGGGTAAGCATCAGTCAGCTCTGCAGAAAGACACTGGTTTGAGGAGGGTACCTCTGACCACTGCGCTGTTGAACAAATAAAATGTTAGCTTTCTGCACCTGAGACATTTTAAAGAAGTTCAGAGCCACCTGACTCAAACCCACTCTCTCTGAGGCAAGAGGACAGTCCCCTTGGCCATTTTCCTGTGAGTTCTGGACTGGCATAGATAGGCAGCCACTCCATCCCTGCTGTCTGGGTCACAAGTCCTGGGAAGGTCCTGGCAGTGAAAGGCAGGCCCAAGCCAGTCACAGGATTCTCCTGCTGTTTTAAAGTCTCAGGCTATGAAGGTTAAGCCTCTTGCCAAAGTAACTCCCTCCTTTGTCTTCCCAGGAAAATGCAAATAGCATGTCCCACATGCAGTCCTCACGATACAGCTCCTGGGCTCAGCCAGGAGAGAGTCCCAGCAGCTAAACAGAGGACAGGTGTACCATGTAAAGATATATCACTGACATTAATCAGGGACAGCTTATTTGCTGGCATCAAAGGAACAAGAAAGTTTCTTGACCCCTACTCCAGCCTCACTCCAAAGTGAAGTCTCCCTCACCACTTAGCACCAGTCCACATGCATTCTTACATCTGCTCTGGATAGCTGTTTTAAAGTGAAGCTTTATACTTGGCAACAGGAGTACCCAAATTCCTTTTCCACAAATTATATCAGGATACAAAATGCACCTCTTGGAAATTCGTCTTGACTTCCAGTCACAGCACTCAGCTCATTCTCTCTGATATTTCCTGCTCAGCAACAGCTGGGAACAGTGAGAAGCAAGCCAGGAGTGGCAGAACCACACTCGCTTTCACTCTCTGCAAATGCCATGGAACACATGTGTTTTCCAGTGACTCTTCATTTATGGTAATGCTGAAAATAGAGGTGTTAACAGGTATCCTGAAAATCTGACTCAATTGTGATTATGTACTTCTCCCCTGCCTCACAGCCCACAAGGAAGCATGTCTTGGGCCCTCTCTCCATGCAGTAATACACATCTCTGAAACTCAAAGCAGAGCAGGACACCAGTTCAGTCAAAAGCAGAGCAGTGTCAGAGCTGCAGTTCAGGACCAGCATTTGGGATTCCCCTGTGCTGCCCTAAATCCACCCAGGAAAGTTGTGAGTATCACTGCCAGAACGGAGGGTGAGGCTGCCTTGAGAAAAGGCACTTAGCATCTTACTCTCAACCCCAAAGGCATCCTCTGAACCAAGAGCTTCCAAAGCTCCAGGTCATTCCTACCTTTAGGACCCTGGAAAGCAACTAAACCACCAGAAAGCAGGTGTTTTTGACAAAAGGTATGTATTTTGCTAGGACACAGGTCCTAGAATCAAGCACCTGCAGTTTGGAGTCAGTCTGGCTGGACTTTCACACTGGGCTGGCATCCACTCTGAACCACCACACACCAGCTTACTGGGGTGACTGGGAAGACTCCTTTGGGATTGGTGAGTATTAAATGCCTATTTTTAAACAGACTCTTTGCTTCCCAGAACAGTGCTAATAGCTCAGCAGCAGCAACACTGCTAAGACTTTTTCCATTACAGGCATTTTTTAAGCCATGCAATCCACACAGAATATAACAGAAGATTTCCCAAAAGACATCACTTCTGCACAGAGCAAATCTCCTTTCACAGCAAGCTGCAGCTGAAGCCATTTGCAGCCAAGTGCCCACCAGGAAATGGGCTGAGATGCTGTGTGAGTACACCTGTCCCAGACCTGCTCTGCAGCACATGACAGTGACAGCACCAGCACTGGGCAGTGACCTGCCTCCTCTCAGGCCTCTGCCCTGCCCTCTGTTTCCTTCCTCTCTATCTCCTGCCTTCCCTCACACCTTGCTTTCTCTCCCAACTAGATCACTGCACCCTGAGGGTTCTCAGGGAAGCTGGGAGCTAGGAAGCAGGGTTCAGACACCAGATGAGAAACCACAACGGAAGAATTGCTTTCTTACTTCTTTGCATGATGCCACCCTCCAGGCCAGTTAATTGCTACTTTGCACTTGCCATCCAGCAGGCACTGGGCTGCAGTGATGGTGGCTCCTCCCACAGCCGCTGCATACTCAAAGATCCCTTCAGTGGCTGGACAGTCGTAACCTGCAGGTAAGAGTCCATGTAAGAGTTTGCACCTCAGACACAACAGGCCTTTTCCTCCAGGGGAAACACATTCCTTTTGCTGGAGTCTTCAAGACAGACCCAGGCTGGAGCAGCCTGTTCCTGAAGAACTGACCCCATGGAGGACCCATCCTGGAGAAGTTCTTGAAAAACTGCTACCCATAGGAAAGACTAGCACTGGAAAAGTTCAAGGCAGAGAGTGTCCTGCAGGAGGGACCCCACACACACGGGGCAAGAGTGAAGAGGAAGGAGCAGCAGAGAGGTGTGAACTGACCACAACCCCCATTCCTTGTCCCTTTACACTGCTTGAGGGAGAAAGTAGAAGAGCGGTGAGTGAAGCTGAGTCTGGGAAGAAAGGTGGATGAGGGGGATGGCGATTTCAGTTTTATTTTGAATGCTCACTATCCTACTCCATTATTAATTGACAATAAATTGAATTAATTTTCCCATGTAGAGTCGCTTTTGCTGGTAACAGTAACTGGAGACTCACCTCCCTGTTATTATCTCTACATGTACTTTTCCACTGGATTTTCTCCCCTCCCCCCCACTGAGGGGGAGAGAGACTGTATCTTGGTAAGCACCTAGCAAAAAAAACCCCGACTACACTACAAAAATCAACCCACCACAAAAAGCAACAATCCAAATGTTTTCTTGCACTCAGTTCATTTAAAAATGTGTCCTGAATCAACTTTGAGTTGTGTACCTGGGTTGCTGAACCTACTGGTTCCTCACACCAATCTCACAAAAAAACTACTTTCAATCTCTGTCTACCTGACCAGACCCTGGCATGGTCACTGACATACCTCTTCTCTAAAAATGGACATCCACAAACTAGCCAAGCCTAGATAAACTGTAGGTCTATGTCTACAATACGATCTTCAATTAGTCCTACAGCAGCCTCCCTGCAGCTGTTGCCCACAAAGCATGATACCAGGGCTGCTTGTCTTCCTGTAGACAGAGCAGCTTCAGAAATGCAAAGTCTAAGGCACACTCATGAGAGCAGCAAAGAATCTGCAACTCTGCCTCAGTTCTGGGTCGCTCTTCCCATTCCTGACACCAAAACTGCCTATAGCCATCTCACCGGCTTTACCTGCTGCATTTCTCAAGCTGTCTTAGGTCCAGGAGGGCAAGAGCCCTCTGCTCCACACGGAAATCACCAGATTGCTCTGCAGCTGCTCTGGTCACTACAGCTCCAGGCCACTGTTCACACAAGCCCTCCCCACAGCAGGCTTGCAGCAGCCAGTCCCAGCTCCAGCCCGAGGGCAGCGTCAGGGTCTTCCATCCCATTCCAGAGCCTCAGAGCAGCAGAGCGACCCAGTCAGCAAGAGACAGGCCAAGCTATACAGAGCAGCAAAGCAAGGCTAGCTCTGCCCTCAGCTGGCACCAGGCAAAGTGCCAGCCTGTCAGATGACTGCTGGGGTTCAGCAACACCCCATTAAAGAATGTTTCCTTTCAAAACTAAGTCCAGCATCCCCCTGAGCTCACCCCTCTAACTGCAGCTCCAGCAAAAAGCATCCTGGCCCTGGCACTCAATTAATCTCTTGCCTAAGATGTGCATCCTTACCCAGTCCGTACTCCACAGACTCCGGGTGGTCATCATCCCCCTCCTCACTGACCTTCTGCAGGTGCTGCAGGTAAGCATCTGTGTGGAAACTCGCCATTTCCTCCATGGAGGCCACTTTTGGCTTGACTATCCTAAGCAGAGAGGAAGAAGGGATCACATCAAGGCAAGAGGATCCAGTGTTCAGCTGGAATATCCAGCTTTAGCCTTTACAATAAGAGCCTTCTTTTGGCTGTTACTGTTGTAAAAGCAAACAAAACTCCCTCTTCTTCTTGCACTGGGCTGTCACTCAAGTTAGAAAGCCACCCAGCTGAGCTGGAGCAGGCCATGCCCCTGGTTTGGGCTGCCCACCCCAGTGAAGAACACTGCAGGTGCTGCCTGCATTAACCTTCCCATTTTGCTTCAAGTTTTTTTTTCCCTGTTCTGCATGTTTTCTCTGTTTGTGCATTCCCCAGCATATCCAACATTCAGTTTACACACAGAGGAACTAATGGAGGGAAATGCCCAGGCCCAGCACAGCACTGTGGCAGGACCTCAGCCTAGATCAGGAGCTGTGCAATGCCTCTCACATGCTGTGACCTACACCAAAGCAGAGACTGTCACTGTTCCAAGCAACTTGCACAGCACCTTCCTGGGTCTGGGTGCTTTGCAGTATGCCTAAACAAATCCTGCAACACATTGAACCCTCCCCAAAACTTGGACAGTGGGAGCATGCACAGCTCCGTTGCTACAGGAAGAACATAGGAAGCTCCCAGCTCCAGACTGGCCCTGATGCTTCCCATCCCATGCAAGGGCAAACAGTCCTTCAGGTCTGCTCTATAATGATGCCTGCAGTCATTTCCCAAGCACACTCTACCAGAAAAAAAAAAATTCTTTAAAAAAAGGAGTCTCAAAAAAACCTTCTGGTTGTGCTGAACTGGAGTACATTTTTTCTAAGATTTTATGAGAAGCTTCACAAGAGGGACTGAGCTCTACCTTTCTTATTTTTCCCTTCACATGCCCCAGCGTCAGGAGCTGAATGAGGAGGCAGGTACCTCACTTCTCTGCCCCAGATCTCATCCGATCTTCTCTCCTGAATAGCATGCAGACCTCACAAAAAGTCTCTCAGATATATTACAATGCACCTAAACAATATGGTCCTTCTCTGCATCAGCACTGACTGATCAGTGGATCTGGAGCAGCACCAAGGCTGTCACCCTACTCAGGAGTCTCAAGCATGGGGGTGATACACACTCTGTAGAGAAAGCACAAGGCTATAAGTGCTCCACCAGAACAACAGGTAACCATAAATTACACCTGCCACAATTACTGTCATCGTGTCCATGTAGCAAAACAAACATTTTCCTTTAATCCTGCAAATACGCACAGTGAGGGCTCCTATAATCACACCACCAGCAGGGACAGTGTGAAACTTGAAGCTACTCAGCACCTTCCAAACCTTAGTGGAGACTAAAACATTCCTTCACAGAAACGGGAGCACTTACTTCATTTGGTCAAGCAAGCAATATGCTTCAATCAGTGAATGAACCATGCTGGCCTAAAGAAAAGAATAAGACTGTGAGAGCAGGAAACACAAAGCGAGCAACCAGGGGCCCAAGGACTCGCAGACGAGGTGTGGCTCAGACTCCTCCCAGCAGCGACTTTCCCTGCCCGGGTCCCTTCTCCGGCCCGTGCCCATACCGTGTGAAAGGGCCTTCCGGTGTCCCGGGCATAAGCACAGCCGCGCACGGCCTCCCGGGAAAGGGAACTGTCGCTTCAGTGTCCAAGCCCGCGGTGCCAGGGGCGATGTGAACGCACAGACGAGCCATCCCCGCTCTAACCCCACACTCCTCTCGCCGGGAGCTTCCCCCGCTTCCTCCTTTCCTACCGCCGTGCCGGGCG